GGAAAGAGCTCTGCATTCACCCTACATGGCACAAGCTGGCAAGAGCCCTTGCCCCAAAGTTTGTTGTTGAAGAAGAGAGGAGAAAAGAAGGCAAAGAGAAGGAGAAGGGTAAAAGAAATAAGATCACTCCACCAGACTAACGCCCAACTGATGGCTCCTAACAGGAGACTCCAGTGTGGTCTGAAGCTACGCAGAAGCACAGCTGAACTTCTGCCTAATGCCTCTCAGATGGGGACAAACCACTCCACTGCAGCTCTTCCAAGTCTAATCTTACTGAATTGAGTAAGACCTTGGCCCCAGAACAGCCTGATAACAAAGAGCTGACATTTGTTGCTGCTGTTTGCACCCATGTTTTGTAGAGCAGAGACTCCACACAGGGCTCAGGAAGCAAGAGATGTGTGCTGACAAGACCCTCCAATTATCCCAAGTGCGGGAGAGAAAAGCGTGTTTATTGTCTGATCAGCAAAGTGCTTTGGCTGCTCTTTGCATTTCAGCAACTACTGTTCACAAGCCCCTGCTCAACTCAAGCCCTTGTACAACACACACAGCTTTTGAAGTCAGGCTTTTGCAAAGTAACACATTATTTTTAAACAGTAAAATTTTAGATCTGGATTTTGGTGGGATTTTTTTGTTTCTTCATTATTCCTTGGATTCAATTCTTTCCTAAAGTACTGCTTTAGGAACATATAAAATCCATGTGCATCTCCCCCCCCTATAGGTAAGTCTGTCCTGGTGAAAAGACATTTCAGAAAACAGACTTCTTAGAAAAATTGTTAGCATATAGGGACACATTATAGGGACCATTCCTGAAAAACCTGCTGAAGTGCCAAAGTCACAGGTGACACCCCCAGCACTCTGGTCCCACACTGTCCTGCTGGAGACTTTTTCCAAGCCTGGAGAATGTAAGCATGCACTAACTTGTCAGAAAATTCATGGGGAAAGAAAACAGTGCAATATAAACAGGAAACTTCTTACATCATGTGCTGGGCTCCTGCAGGCAAGGAGGATCCCCACCACATCTCAAAGCAGAGTTGCTCCACAATGGCAGCAAGCCCACAGCACAGGAAGGGAGCTGAGATGGAGCTGTGAGCAGGCTGGGCACTGTGCAGCCCCAGCTCACCCAGTCCCTGCTTGGCTAAGAGGTGAGGAACACGTGGGATTGAGGACTTGGCACCTGTACAGGGCAACCAGCACCATAGGCACAAGGAATGATCCATTCCCTCATGGAGCTGGAGAAGACTCCTGAAGCATGTGTCACAAGCAGACGGACTTGATGGGGTGACACCCAGTAAGGAAGGTGTCTCCCAACCCACCCCTCCAAGTGCAGGGTGATCTACCAGCTGTCTAGCACTCAGGATGGGGTCACTGCTACCACAGGGCAAGTCTTCAGCCAACAGCCCCACTAAACCACCTGCCCACAACATGGGTCTATCCCTCTGCTGGTGTGGAGGCTGCCCCCGCTCCAGCAGTCCCTGCCCAGGCTCTCCCCAGAGCTAACCCCAACGTGGAGCAGGCACTCAGCCTGCAGCAAGGAACGTGGCTGCGCAGGAACCACACCTCTCCTACCCCAGGCTCCTTGCCTCCCACCTCTCCTCCCTTTCCTCCCCACCCATATGCTCAGTCTTGCCAGTTTGGGCAGATTTTCAGGAATCTAAGCTCAGACACACTCTGTACATTTTGGCAAAACCAAGTCTTTGGTTCTTCAGCTGTTAAAAGACCTGACCAGTTGCTACATGCAGCCTTAGCCATTTTCTAAGCAGACACAAACACAATGGATATTTCTGAGTAATTAAAAAACTACTGAGGGGAAAAACACCCCTGACCTATTTGCCAAACTTCCTCCAGGTCTGATACCCCAGGCTCTGCCACACCACCCCCAGCCAGTCAGTGTGCCAAGCCCTGGGGCTCCATGCAAACCTGGGAAACAGACCGGGACATCCCCTGGGCATTTAGCTTACACCTGGTCTGAAAGCACCCACGCCTTAGCTTGTTTTAAAGAGGAGCAAACGGATAAGGAAGGAAAAGCTGTTTATTGGAGAAACAACATGAATGAAAGTGAAACTGGATAAAGCCTATAAATAACATAGCTGTCTTGGAGAGAACTGGGTACTTCACCATCACAAAACTCAAAACAATCAATGAAACTACACAGCTTTGGGTACTGCTTTCCCATGAAAGTCTGAATCTACCTGTGGAACCGAGTGCTGCAGGATGCTGCAGCAAAAGGCAAAGTGAATAGATCCCTAAGAGGACCACAACGTCTCAAGATAAACTGGTGTTAGCACTTTGCAAAATATGAGACTCTCTCCTTTACAAGGTGCAGTTTGAACCTCTAACGATTAGGGCTTTAGGGAGCATACCCCAAGGATGGAGCTGCAACAGCTGCCTTCACCAAGGCTTTACACCCTGAACCAACAATCTGCTGTCAGTGTCTCATTAGGGAAACGACTTATCTGGAGAAACACAGCGCCTGAGACCAGCCAAGTCCGCACGCTGCCCACGTCTCAGATTGCGACTCTCTGCACTGCACCAAGAAGTGTTCTCTGCTTACTGGGCTCCGTGCCTGCACTGAGGACAGAGCAGGTCCTGAGAGGTCATGGGGAAGTGGCAATCCCACATGCCACACTGCTCCAGAGCCCTGACTTGTGCAGAGGAGCCATCTTCCCAAACAGCCCAGCAAGAAAAGCACAGCCCTGCATGCCACTGTCCCATGGGTTTGGGCACCAGGACATCCTGTCACAGCAGAGGGGTACCCAGAGTGGCCCTATCACAGCAGGTGCTGTTCAGTAGAAAGGACACAGACCACGCTGGCAGCACCAGGCTCTGACCTGCCATATGTGAGATTAAAGGAGAGAGCATGTGGAAGCTGTGCTTAGGGTATGACAACTGCAGACAGCAGGCACGTCCCCAGGGCCCACAGCAGGGACTGCTGCCCCCAGGGTCAGAGAAGAGCTCCTTGTAAACAGAGTAAGGCAGAAGAACCAAGGGAAAGGCAGGCTCCACTCTGTGCCCCCTAGGAGAGAGCGACCCACATTCACAAGCATTATCACAACACCACCATAATTGGATTAAGCCACAGGAAGACTCTTTTATCTTGTTTAGTTTAAACTGCGTTAGTGCTGAATCTCCCTATTAAACCACAGACAGGCTATCTGGGGTGAGAGGGCTCTCTGCCCAGTCATTTAGGCAGAATGCAATTCTGTTATCAACTCTCACATTGTCCCGTACTCCTTTATCAGGGAAAGCAGCTAATTACACAGACTGGCTCACACAGGTAATCAGCACACAGGAAAACGCAGTCAATGCAAAAACCTTCCCAGTCTTTAAGGAATCTTTTCACAATTTTCCCCCCATTGTGTCTTTACTTCAGCCTGATCCATTTTCTTCCTTGTAACACTGAACACAGCATGCAATGATCCAGAGCTGAAAAGGCGTGAGCAAAATCTCAAGTCAACTCGTTTCCACTCTCAACCCCACTCAAGCCCTGTGACTGCAGAAAACCAAAGCACAGTTGGAGCAGGACACATAGAAAGGTAAGCAGATGGATGGATCATGGGCCAAATCTTTCCATATACAGTTCTGTGAGGTCAGTATTTTGTGATAGTTCACTGTTTGGGACACTAATTTATGGGGAGAAAAATCATGCTGTTGGTTACACAGCAACTAATACAAGGCATAAGCAGATGTTAAACAGTGACCTCCCTTTACCCATTCACATATTCATCTCAGCTGTATCCAGCTGCCCTTTCCTGCTGCCAAGCCTCCTGCCAAAGCTTAGTTGAGAGGTTTGCATTCTGTCCATCAAAAATCATCCTTGCAATTTCAGCTAGATGTGAAATTCTTGTTTCCCATTCTGGAGCTTCTCATCATCATTATGCAGTGCTGATATGTGGGATTAAACAGCTGATATGGGATCCATTTATTCAGAGATATAATTTGTGCAATACTTAGGACTCCTTCAGGATGAATGTTACTAGGATTATTAAATTTGCATGCCACAGTGGCCAGCTGTTTCTGAAAACCCCTCCTCCAGGTAATTATGCTCCTCTGGAGTGGCACACATGAAGAAGCAAGACTGCACCCACAAACCTCTGAGGGAATGCTCTAAGTGCTGTGGGCCAAGAGGTGGACAGCTGGATATCAAATTGCTTCTTAAAGCACACATCTGAAGCCAAACCCTCTCTGGAAGAGACACTTTTCTCAGCCAAGTAAGGCCTCATTAGCACAGAATCAAAGCATTAGCAACAGCAGTTGAAACAGCTCTACTTACTACTTCATAACCCGTTGGTGCTCGGTTCCGGGACGCAACCACGCCGACCCCTGTGATGGGATCCATCAGCAAGTCGGGCAAGGCATCGGAGAGGTCTCGCACTTCAGGCATGATGCACTGGTCCTGAAAGAAAGGAGCAGAATCAAAGGGCTGCTTGGCAGCACACCCCAGCAGAAGACAGAGCACCAAGAGCCTGCATGCATGCAACAGTGCCTGTGCTGACACACCACAGACTGCCAAGTTAAACACAGGATTAGGCCAGACACACCTTCTGCACTTTTGTTTGCTTTTGATAAGAGGGTACGTTTGTGCAATGCCCAATAGGTTTGGAATTTGGGCCAGCAGCCTCTTCTGAGATTAATTTTATTGCTTACAGAATACTTAGCATGGGCTGGTCTCCACCTAGCAATGATGGCAAAACCCAATCTCATTCCTTTCTTTTCCAATCAGAGCAAATTTCATCCCTGAGACAGGCTGGTTGAAGAAGCTCTGCCATTTTAAGCAGCAAGAAAACTGCTACACTGAGAGGTTCCCCAACCACCTGTAGGTGTTAAGACACACTGGGGATTCCCCCATGAGTCTTCAGTCCCACCGCACCCTCCTGAACCAGATAACTTTAATGGAGCAGCACAAATGTATCTGGCACTGTGTGCAGAACCACGCTCATTGCAGAGAGCCTGGACACCAGGGAGCACAGACGAAGCAGCACAGGAGGGTCTGAGGCAAAGCAGACAGAGGCCTTGGAGAGGCCTGAGCATCTTCCAGGAGAAGGGAGACACCACCAAGTACTTCAGGGAAGGGAGATCCGCAAAGGGGATAGCAGTGCGTAGGACCAACCAATTCTGGAGAGATGCTGTTGCAGGAAGCAGGAGGAGAGAACAAAAGAGCTGCTGAAACAACTGGCTGAGGAGGAGGATGGGGAGAAGTGCAACTGCCTCAGCATGTGGTCTCCTGCAGAGACAGCCAGTTAGGGCAAGTCTTCTCTGGCTTTCAGGCAGGAATGCCCCAGGAAACCACCCCCCACACACCCCAAGATAAAAGGGCAGTGCTTTGTGTAAACAAGCGTCACTGCTGCATAGCCAGACAAGCCGTGATCCAGAGCTACCTAATTCAATTCCCTTCTCAGAGCAATTTAAACCCCAGCATTTCTAGGCCATGTAGACAGGTAGTTACTTACTGCTTCTAGAAAAGGCAGAGGTGAGTGCTGGTGCCAGTGGGACCTGGGTTTACACTTCACAATGCCCAGTCTGAACAAACATCGTGCTGCAGGCAATAAAAAAGAGCAGGTCTGGGCCCTATGTAAATAATAATAATGTCACACGAACAGCCAGGCTACCTGAGGAGGCCAGAACAATAGCTAGTGGCCAGTAATGGTGAGAGCACTATTGCCAATGAACCAAACCCAGGAGAGAGCTCTACTTCATCACATAGACAAGCATCCAGCACACAGAGAGCAAAGTAGACTCACTCTGCTCCCTATGCAGTTCAAGCCTCCAAAGCACAACTAGAAGCACACCCGGAGCTGTAGGGGCTCACCCTCCCCTCCCAACAGGCTCCCTGTCCTCAGGGTAGGCAAGGAGCATGGGACCAACCCTGCTGCAGAAATGCTGGTAGCACCTGGTGCAGCCCAGACAAACGCTGCAGGCTGCCCACGCCACTCCACCAGCTCTCCTCTGGATGCCTTGCAAATAATCTAGAACCCATTGCCTAAAACATGCAGTACTGAGCAAACACAGCATGAATTTAACAAAGAACTTACAATCTGTTCTTACATACAGATACACGTTTTCTGAAACTTTTCCAAGTCACTGTCAATAATGTGATGACTTGTTATTGCACATTGGGAGGAGCTGGCAGATAATAAATGCTGATATGAGCTTCTCTTAGGCCATCCTGAACTGAAATCTAGGTAAGATACTCCCCAGAGTCCTAAGAACATCACATGGCAGGTTGCAGCATGGCCACAGCTACACCACATGGAAAGAGATCTGCTCCTTTAGTGCCTCTGGCTTCCACCAAACCTGCCCTGTCAAAGTGCCAGCTCACCCCAAAGACAGCAGGAGAGCAGGGACAGCTGGGATGGCACCAACAGCTCACCCTGGAGATGATGCAGAGGGGCTGTGCTCCCTCTAAGGCTCTGGTAGGGCTCAGGGGGCAGGGAGCCCCTGGCAGGGATGGAGCTAATGTGGGCTGGGGACCTGCTGCGAAACAGTGCCCAGGTCCCAGCTTACCACACTGGGGTCTGCTGCAGGGCGGTCCAGCTGCCACAGCAGGAACCCCAGCAGCAGCAGAGTCAGCCTGGGAGAGGCAAAGGATAGTGCCCCAGGGGTCCCCAGCAGCACCACAGGAAGGGCTGCGTGGCAGCCTGTCCTTGGCCCAAGGGAGAAGGGCACCTTTGTCCAACTGTTCGGGTCCTGCTCAGCACAGCTGGGGGAGGGGAAACTTCATCAATCCTCACTTTGTCCCCACTCACACAAAGCTTCTCTATAGCAGTGGCTAAGCACAGCGAGCCGGGAGGCAGAACCGGAGGGCTGAGCTGAGCTCCCTGCGCCCGCCAGCAGCTTCCTCTGCTGGGCTTGGACCGTGGCTGTGCCATGGCCAGGGGGACAGGCAGGGGACGTCTGCCCACAGCACCAACCTCCAGGTCTCTGGGCAGCACAGCGGGAGGGCCAGGGCAGCAGCGCTCAAGGGTGGCTGTGCCGGTGCCCGGCCACTGCGGCACAGCACGGGGAGCCAGCTGGGCTGCACCAGGGCAGCTGCTCAGGGCAGCTTCCCATTGTGCAGGTGGCACCCAGGATGCATCTGAACAGCTATGGAGCAGCAGCAATTGGTTTGCACACTCAGATAAATGTTTTTGTGAACTCTGCCAAGGTGAGAAGGGAGTCTCTGGCTGGGCAGTAGTACAGATGATTAGTTACATTGCACATCTCCTTCAGGGCATCTACAAAGTTTGGTTTATTTTCTATCATGACTTTGAACTTAAAAAACAAACAATGAAAGAACAGATTAAATTAAGGAGCAGGATTCTATAAATACTTGTATTAGACAGCTTGTTATTTTAATGAATTTCTCTTTAAACAACACAGGTTTGACCTATACACCCACCTAACATCATGGTGGCCAAGAACTCAAACCAGCTGACCAGGAGATGGCCTCTCACCATCCTGTGCTAAGCTGTGCTTGCCCAGCTCAGCTCAAGGGCCCGTGCTGCTCCCCGGGCTGCAGGGTTATTCTGGGAACAGCCCAAAACAATTAGAAGAACATTCTTCCCATTAGTTGGGAGCACGTTCCTTGGAGGTCATTCACAACTGCAGGGCCACATCCAGCCCCTAGCATGGCTAGGCAGCCACAGGAAGCCAGATGAGATCCCTTGGGCAGGAAGAAGTTTCAAACCACTACGGGGCCACTCAAAGCCAGCAAGGAAAGGATGTGATGACCAGAGTCACTGTGTGTTCTGCTGGCACCAGCCCCAAGCAGCACAGCAGAGTGGGGCAGAATGGAATGGCTGCAGGACATGGCAAAGCCAAGGGCAGTTCAACACCTCAGAACGGGCTGTCTCACACACACACCTCCCATTCTCCCAGGTTGTTAACATCCTTTTTGCTCACTCTTACCCATTTTCTGGCTACCTTATCTCCACTTTTATAGTTTATCCTAGGCATACTTCTCTGCTGGCTTCACTGTCCATTTCAAGTATTCCACTGAGGTGACTGACCACACACACCACTAACCTCTGGCTGGGGCACACATATAGCAAAGCAACACATTTTCAGATATGAACTATTGTATGTAGAGCATTTTTCCCCTCAGTGTTCCTTTACAACAAGTTAAGCAAATTCAAGATCAGAACAGGCCTCATGATGTATATGCTACAGAAGCATCACGCTGCCAGCAAAGGAGGTCAAGTTCTGAAGTTAAACAGCAAGGGACTTAGAGAGAATGATCTTATTGTTTCTTCCTTGAACTACAAGCCCTGCACTTTGACACTGATTTGCTCTTCTCACAGGCAGAAAAGTACAAGCTAAGGCAAAACTGGAAAAATATTATCAACTTCCTCACCGAGTTCCTGCACCCCATGGGAAATAATCCCATCAAACCAAAGCAGACACGCTGCTAAAAGCTTCAATCTCATACTCATGTTATTGCTCGGTCACTTTGGAAAGGTGGTGGGCACAGCACGGGCTACACCGACCTGCCCCTCCCACCGTGTCCGGGAACAGGACACAGCCCCAGCCAACGTACTATTTTTGTTCATGGAATAGGACATAGTTTCAGTCACAAAAACAGGAGACGCTGGCAGGACACAGGGTCAGGGCCCTGGAGGCCTCCATAGCAAGCAGGCAGAATTTCAGTTTCACGTTTCGCCCCAAATGAAGGTATGTCTGGAATCACCCCTGCACCCAGGCTCCCATCCTCAAGACAGCTGCCCCATATCAGCTGCAAAATCTCCAGTTTGTAACTGAAATGGGATGGAAATAGGAATTGAAGTCGCAGAATGAACAAAACTGCATTGTTTCACAGCAGCTTTTAACTATTAACACTCATCTGAGCAATGTCCTGTTTCAAACCAAAATAAGTTTCCACACACGACAGCCTTGCAGCAAGGCAGAAAAATATAAGTGACATCCAGTTCAGTGCTTCTACTTTGGCCTACGTGTGAACAAGTCCCTGGGGCCCAAAGGGACCCTCGAGTCTGGGAACAACTTTGTTAGAGCAGCACATGCTACAAGACTGAAAATTGTGTGTTTTATTTCATACCTCCACAAGCTCAATCTAAGCCTTTGTTCCAGTATGCTGAGAAAATCTAGCAGGTAAGTCTATCTCAGCTAAACATGATAGGGATAACACTGCCAGCCCACCACATGACACAGGCCCCACCAAGGCATACGCTGGCACATTCTCACTCAGTTAAAATAAAACAAAGACGGAGAAACCCAAGTTTCAGCCCAAGCAGCTGAACATCTGCCCAAGCCCAACCAGTCTTGTTTCAGCTGAAGGACTTTGCTTGTGTTACCATGGCCAAGCTGGGAACAGCCCAGCTCAAAGAAAGCACAATAAACACTGAAGCTTGGTGAATCTTTGAGAGTCTCTCCAGAAACCTCAGTGAAAGCTTACAAGTCTTGGTAATGCAAGAGGCAAGCATAAAACAGGCAACTCGGTACCACTGCTCTGGGCACTGCTGTAGAGAGCCCAGGTTATCACCTCCAGGCCTGCAAAACCTGAGAATAGGTGAGAAAACCAAGCAGCCAAGTAAACCCAAGCTGCAAACACTCGCAGCAGAAGACCACACAAAACCAAGTGTTTTTGGTTATATTCTCTAACCAGTCATTAATACAAACTTCAGAGCTCTTGAGCAGGTCAAGGTCACCACCACCGAGTCTCGAAGCTGCCCCTGCCCGCCAGCCCCGGCAAAGCCCCTTC